CTGCCGCCATGGCGCTCAGGCCCTCGGACCCCTCAGAGCAGGTGAGGATGCTCATGAGGACCTGGCCATGCTCGTTACCTACGCTGGTAACCGAGGCAGCTGTGTTGGCGGCGGCACCAGCGAGCTTCTTCGTCACCTGGACAGAGATGCGTTAGTGTGAGCGACAGAGACAGAGAAAGCAAGTGCTGTTTGGACACCTCTATGGTCGGCCGACTGAACCTTCTAATACCTTCTTGGTCGAATCCATCTTTAGAATGGACCCCAAGGTGGACGTTATGCGGGCCTTGTACTCCTCCAGCCGCAACGCCACCTCATAACCGTAAACGGTGAGGAGCCAGGCCGGGGACGGTACGGCTGGCATGGGCGGTGGCGGGGCGAACCTCGCTGAGGAGCACAAGGCCTGGAACTGCTCGCAGACGCCGAGGTAGTGGATTGCTCTCCGCATCCAGGCATCAGAGTGCTGCTCCCGCAGGGTGTTGTACAGCCGGGTTGCACTGTTTCCAAGCGTGCGAGACCTCAGCTGTCCAACCACCCTCTGGTCACAGGACAGCCTGCAGGAAAACCATACCACTTTAAGTTACCTTCTTCTCCTTCTATCAATGACACCTTTGTTTTTTCATAATAAAGAACTAAGACAGTTATTGTGGTTGTGTCTTACTTGTACGTGAGCACAGCAGGAAACTGGCAGCTGTAGGTGGGGGGCAGCTGCCTGATGATGCCCTGTGACCATCCCGCGACCTTCTTCTTACATTGACGGCACTCCAGGTACTCGGTGGCCATGAGGCACCAGCCGTCAATGTCCAGGACCCTCCGGATGGTCCTGTAGAGCCCAGCCTTCGTCATGGACCCGGTGCACGAAGGCTGGGGGCATGTCAGCTGCAGACGCCAGATCCTGTGGGGCATCCACAAGAACAGCCGACATGCGAAGAAGGGCTCAGGGGATGCAGGAGGCTGGTGGTAGACCGGCTGGGGCTGTGGAGGGAACCACCACAGATTGAGGTCTGTAGTGAGGCGAGGCCTCCCCAGGTGGTCCCTGATGAACAGCATCCGACTGATCCACTCCTGCTGCTCTGCTGTAAGCGCTGCCCTCCAGGACTGAGGCAGCATCTGCAGAAAGAAGAAAGCAATTTAACTTGCAAACGGCTTCTACTGGTGCCCAGCTGCTTGAACTATAAACTCTCTGTCAGCAAACCTCAGCAGCAGGGGGTACAGGGTCCCGTCTGGACGGGGTCTCCTGCATGGAGGGTGGCTCTGGAGGATCCAGCCGCTGCAGGGGTGCTCCCCGCTCCTGCGTGGCCTCCAGCAGCTCCTCGTCGGTGGCTTCCCCCGGTCCAGCAGGGGACACCCTCTGAGGTAGCGAGGCGGTGGAAGGACCCGCCTGTTCATCTGATGTTGAACAAAACACACGTTTTAGTAAAAAAACAAGTTTCATCTGCAGCTCCCACAGTAAACACAAAAAGAAGCAGCAGCAGGATGCTAGTAATGATTAATGGCTACAAAGGATAAAGACAGGGAGTGTGATTGGGTGACAACAAGAAGAAGAAACGGGTGACATGATGAGGAATCTACAGGTGAAAAGCAGCGGCCCAGTTAGTGATGAGTGAGCTACAGCTAATTGCCAAAAGCAAATTATTTATTGACTCCAACTTACTGTTTCACTTCAGGTTCATCTGATTTTTTTCATCATTTGTGAAATAAAATGGGAGAAAACTATCAGCATCAGTCATAACTTTTTTGTAAACAAAAGTCTGATAAATTAGATGCTTGTTACTTACATTCCTCCATGTCGCCAGCAGCCTGGACCAGCTCCTCATCACTGGGCTCCACAGGTGTCTGTGTGGAAGGAGCTGGTCTAGAGGTTCTGTTGCAGGCTGAAGATGAAATAATAAACATTAAGTAACAGAAGAGAGTAACGCTGCATCTCTTGGGAATTTCATCTCACATTGAAATGCAGGCTTAGGTGAGGAGGAGACCCCCTTCAGCGCAGCCTGCATCTCCACCCCAGAGAGAGAGCGGGGTGAAAACCTGAGATCACAAAGAAAACTTAAATGCAGCTCTGGTGAAATTTAATAATCTCAGAATTTTTAAATAAACATATAAAAAAAAATGTAAAACAGACTGTGTCTGTGACAGCCCCCCTGCTGACACCAGTCCCTCAGTGGATGTGGTGGTGGACGCCTTCTCCCTGTCTCTGCTCAAGTCCACAGCCTTCTCCATGTGTGAACCTTGATCTGCTGATGACCGACACAGATAATAAACAAACCTGAGCAGGTGAGACAGAGTCAGCAGATTCTGACATCCCAGCATAAGCAAAACACACACAGTTTCCACCAATTTTTAATTTAATTGTAAAAAGTACAATGCTGAAGAACTACACCTTTAAGTAATTTTTTTATGTTTTTTTTTTCCAAAGGTGACTTAGAAAATCTAAGATTATCTTAAAATAAAAAATCTAGTTATGATCCACCCCAGCATTTAAAGTAGAAAAAGCCCTATACTGGAAGATTGTTGATGAGAACAACCAGTTGTTTTTTTAAACCATGTCTGTGGTTATTGGCCAATGCTCTGACCAATGAGTGCAACTGACTGTGACGTTGGAAGTGCGACAGAACGCTGGTGGGGGAGTGTAAACCTGTCGGTAAAATGGCAAATACGTCCTTCTTAAAAATGAGTGAACGTAGAGCCTCTTACTGCTCACATTTCAATGAAAACCCCAAGTCTAATCATTCTAAACTGACTCCAAAACTGAGTCAGACGAGAACTGTTCAATAGTTTTTGCCATCTTCCTTGTTGTGCTTTCTCCAGCGTCGCGCAGCTTTGTCGTCACGCCCTCAAAGCCCCGCCCTCTTTGCATCCAGACTTTCAAAACACATCTCTGCACTGTGATTAGCCCGCCGGTTTTGGTGCATGGCGCGTGTTTTGAAGCCGCTTGTGGAGAAATGTCCTGGGCCATGAGTAGTGAGGAAACAGGA